TGAGTTTGGTTACAGTACCACCAACAGTTATGTCCAAAACGCCCAACCAGTTGGATGTCAAAAACATTGAAAATTTAATAATTGAAAACATTTGTCTGTGTGAACGGATATGGGCACCAATCCAAAATGTATTCCTGAGATGCCTGGGTCTGAGATAGATCCAGATGGGTCTGAACTGAAAACAGATGGTCCAACGCAGGGAACATAAGCAAGGTAATACTACTGCACACTCATAATACCACTGGACGTGATGCTACACTATTGTGTCCTGTGTTCTTCAAAAGCTTTATAGCACACGGCCCTGGGTAAAGATAAAGCCAAATCCTTCAGTCACTCTGATTCCCCTGACACCGACTCCTCTACAAGTTGGAATCAATGTCTTGCAAAGTGCTTTTTCAGATAATGTTACAACTGGTGGCACGCATTCTAATACATCAACCAGCTAACGGAATGAAACAACATATGCGCATGACTGGCCTAATGAAATAGGTTTCATGTGTTTTAACCTGGTCAAATAAAATATTTAAAAGATTGTTCTGACATAGCCATCAATTTAAAAATGCAATACTGTGTTTTTGTGTTATAAGGATAATATTATTCACATGTGTGGTTCAGCATGTAAGCAGTTCTCCTTAAAAGATTATGAGGTTTGTAGATGTAAAACTACTGCTAGATTTCAGCCGTTTTGGGTAAGAATGCTGCCCGACAAAGAGTACATGGCTACATACATTTAGCAAATGTCAAGTGAAAAGTAGAGTGACAGAAGTACAACATGATTCATATTTGGTCCCAGTCTAATAGGGCAAAATACATTACAGCCGTGAAATGATGGTTATTTCTTATCTGACACGCATGTTAGAGCACTTAGGGTCAGGTTTTAGTAATGACCAATATCCAAAAGTGTAGTATGTAAACCAGACGTTTATATTACTGTCTGACTTGTACAAAAATAAATGATTCTAAAGAATTACTTGTCTCAATATTGTGGCGCTGAGCCAATAGAAATCATTTTGTTAAAATAAAAAGGTATTTTTTCATTATGAAAAGAGACTTTCTTCTGTGTTTTTCTCAGACAATTTAATTATTACTGTAAAGTTCTTTCAAATTGACATGCCCTTAGTGCCAATATATTGGCCTCATGTTTATGTTTCTGGTGAACAGGTTTTGAATTGTCCAAATATGATGGATTAGTGACAAGAAAAAAACCTTCAGATTTGAAAGATGACATTTACAAATAAGCTCTATAAGAAATGAGTAAAACCCTACCTCTTGAATGATGATTGGTTGTCCCAGAATGCTCTCTGGGACATCACGCCCAATGAAGATCTCTGTTGGAATACATCAGCAACAGTCTGACAGTAAAGGGTCACAAGGCTCATGGGTCATGTCCGGGTCTGTTTCCACTGTTTTGAGTCTAAGTGCTAAATAAGCTGCTGTCTGCTCGCCCACAGCAGGTGGAGAGTGTAAAAACATGTGCACTGTAATGTTTAGTTGTGTTAAAAAGTGGCTGTTTTCATTCCAGATCCAGATGTATAGCTTGTAATGCTGCTCATGTTGGATACGCATTCAGGAATGGATTTCCCTGGAGTTTTAGTGTTATGTTCAAGTCATACAGCCATCTGTCTGGACAAAAACACCAGAGTAGTTTTTAGTATCATGTGATGAATTTGTTTTTAAACAATAGATATAATATTTCTTATCTATTGCACATCGTTCAATCACATAAAAAAATCATCACGAAAACATTGATTCCAGCGGTAAGTCATGGTTATTAATATTTGTACTGCAATAAATAAACGCAGAAGACTAAAAAAAACAATGAAAGATAGAAAAAAATAATGAAAGAAAAAACAGAAGATTTTATTTGGATAGCACAATTCTATTCACGCAGCAAAAACAGTACAAAATGCATTCCTGATACAAGGTACGCAGCAAGGCTGTCCTCTCCGTGAACTCTGCCCTCCATTTCAGGCTTGCCAGTATTGTTTGTTATAGCTCTAAAAAAAACACAGAGAACCTTCTTCTACCTGACAAAGGAATACATTATCCTTTCCCAAAAGGACACACAACTGTCTTCCCAAATGTGTTTGTGGTATATGCATAGACAGTCTAAACAGGGTGTATGGCTTCACTCCAAAAGAGAAGAGTACTGTGATGTGCTAACAAGGACGAGACTCATGAATAAACTCACTTTTAGACAAGTTTACTCAACGTACTTCTTCACATCGAACCGTCGAAGAGTTGCAGAGTTTTAGTAAAAGTATGTATGATATTCCTAACAGTCAAGACATGACATTGAGATTCCAAATTTAATGAATTATTCAGGGGTGAAAACATTTTTTTTTTCCAAAATAGTTAAAAGAAGAGACTATTGTAAATCACCCTTTTGTTTATCATGACACATTATGTGATTGCCACAGCTGTTAATAACCATGTAGGCTTCAGGCATATCAAAACAATACATCCTTCTCACTGGACAATGGTGACAGAAAATGTATTTTCCAAAAAAATTTTAGTTATGAAGAATAGATTAAGCTTGGCAGGGCTCGGTGCATCACACAATTCACTGAATCATGTGCTTTGTTTATTTATTTATTTATCCATAGAAGGGATTTTAACGCATTTAAAAACTCATATCTGGTCGCACTGGAACTAAGGCAGAAATAAAGGAATGTGGCTGTATTTAAATGTGTTTTGTCTCAGAGACTACATCACTGCACGGCAAGTGTGTGCAACAGGTGTCTAATGTGTCCAGATCTGCCACATCACATAAAGATAAGGAAAGTCAAATTCTTTGTTTAATCCAGGATGTGTCATGGCTCTAAATTCTTACATACAGTATGTTTTACGCTTGGGCAAAGGTTTTAGCCTGTCACTTCCGCTAGGGTTGGATGGAATGCTTTCATTTGACACAAGCTTTGTAAAGAGTGTGTTGAGGCTGATGTGGCCTGCATGTTTAAAATGTTTTACTGTGAGTAAAAGAACAAATTAGTTAATAAATGTGTAATTTTATCTTATTTTTTTCTCTCTCTCTATTTTTTTGTTCGTATAGTTTCTGCTTAACTATTAATATTATAAATTATATAATTAGTATTTACACATACAAGATATATCATATTTGAATATGTAGAATAAGCAATAGGGAACGGTGATGGTGAGGAAGCAAAAATAATAAGTAATATTGTTTAATTTAATTAATACACATTGTATGATAAATATATGGACTCTTCCCACAAGCATCCCAGGCACATGCCTTTTTAATGCACAACACCTCACGCAGATATTTTTCTTTTTAATACACCACACAATCACAGACAAACTATTGAGGAAAGCTGTCGGAAGAGTGCCAGTAATAATGCTACTGTTAAGGACGCTAGTATGGTCATAATTATTATCTTCATCATCGCCATTGTCGCTATTGCTGTTATTTTCTTCTTTTTTTCTGTTGTTGTTGTCACTGTGTGTGTTTTTTTTCTTTTCTTTCCCTTTCCCATCTTAAGTAACTTACACCATACCACCAATTCCCATCTATATGCTTGGCGCAGAATCAATGCATACCAAAAAGGAAGAGAAGAGAGAAGGGAAAAAAAAAAGGTTTTGTGTATATATATATATATATTTTTTTTTTTTTATCCCATTAATTGAAATCTCTGATGTATTTATTTGGAAAGCTTGTTGAAATCAGTTTCACAGATGTGCTTTAAATTCTAAAGCTCCAGTCTCCTCCATAGAAATCCAGAGATTCCGATAATGAATAGATGTCTGCTTATAATACAGAGATAGTTTATTTTTAGGGTTAGGGCTGTTAAGGTACAGTATATGTGGAAATATTTCACTTGCTCTGTTCTGTCAGGCTGAAATTTGTCCCACCATTCATGACAGGAATGTTGTGAATGATGAATCAACTACACCAGTGTATAAGGGTTTGAGCCGCTCTAAATTATCTTTTTGCAGTGGCATTCTGTGAAAAGAGATAAACTTCTCGCCTTATAGTACTCTTTATGAGTTTTCTTAACTTGAAGGAAAAAGAAGAGATTTGGGAAAGCTGTGAAATGAAAATGTTGGTCGTGTTTGTGTGTTTAGTCGTTAAATTATTACCAGACAGTATACAAACTGTACTTATAATTTATTAGTTTGCATCCATAACTTTTGCATCTGGAACCTTTTTTAAATACTCATCAGGCACCTGTTGCACAAACATGTGTCCTGATGAAGACTCTCAACATCCATTTAAAAGCATTTACATTCCACATCATCAGAGGTCCTACAACTTTTGGTTAGATCAGTCCCCACCTTCACCTCCAGCTTGATTGCCTGTTACCAGTGATTTGGAATGTTAAACATTGTCGCCACCATTGTTTAAAAAAAACACTTTCATTATAATCCTCCATGTCAATCTTATGGGTTCCCAAAAACAGAATCATGGACATGTATTCTCTAACATACCCAGAAGTTTACCCAGCTCAATAATAGTCAGAAAATGTGTGCCCAGAGTATATTTTCAGTGGCTCACACCCAGACATTCTGGAGGATGGACAAAGTGCAACATGACATCTTCACCAGATAACAGTTAAAAGTAGTTTAGGAGCTTTGGCTTGGGGAAAGTCTAATTATTAGCAATTATTGATTTATTTATCTTTTAACATTGCAGTTGAAAAGACGCAAACTGTACATTTATTTTTGTTTATTTTTTAACATAAACTGTGATTGATCAATTAGTCAGAGCAAAGAGGGAGCGCGGTCCCAAATGCAGCTTTATGATTGGTCCACCACCGAACCCGTAACATGTAGCGCTTCCATATAAACCCGGGCAGACTTGACATCGCTGCTGCTATATGTGTCATGCAAGTCAAAGAATAGTGAGGAGTCCAGCAAAGAGGTCCTTTTAGCCTTCAGTTATTCAGTCCTGTTCAGGCTCTGTTCAGGCTCTCTTCAGGCTCTTTGGAGCGCACGACCGAGGCACGTCTTCACGTTTACTTCTGTCATTTGCAAAAGAGACGATGTCTTTGAGGAGCGGACTTCTTCTGCTGATGGTGCTGATGGCATCTGCCTATGAACTGGATCAGAACGAGTCCTTCGCGCCCAGGAGAGCTCGCTTCTCCTCGAACAGCCCTGGTAAGAGCTTTTTGCTTTCAACTGTATTCACCCAAACAGAAAAGCCACTCCGTAGATGGTAGGAACGCATACTGGGTCTGAATCCCTTTTCTATGTTACTGTGGCATTGGTGAGATGTGAGCGGTGCTTTCGCGTCCTGCCGGCAACAGATGACACCTGAGGGGCTGGCTGTAGGCTCAACATTAGGCTTTACATTACATTTGACTATTGGCTGTATTATTGATCCCACTAATACACGATCTAAACAACACTTTTTCCATGGGATCATAAATACTATGTAAATGTGTGGTAAATAAGCAAATACATCATAATAATAAGAATTGAAATTTAACATCGTGAATAATACGTGTAGCCTTTATCTGCAGGAGCTTGTGAAGCAAAACCTGAATCTAAAGACTAAGCCTGACAAAACAAACAAGATTTGTGTTCAACAAGAAGTGCTTCATTTACCTTACCTTATAGAATTTTCGTCCCCTCAAACATAATTTTAAAATAATGTTTAATTTCCTAAAATAATCATTTCCTAATAACAACTCTAGGCTGTAATAGAAGACAGGGATACAGTGTTTTGTGCTTGGCATGTTAAGGTGTGTACTGTTGTTGATCCCATGTGAAGATGAGTAGCAGTCACTGAACAAGAAGTGCATACACAAAGTTGGTAGTGTGTCAGTGTGGTATATAATGCATGTATTCCTTCTTGCTATCAGGCTTTAAGGTGATAGACTATACAGTTCAATAGCCTTTGCATTTCTGGCACTGATTATTCAGCAGAATATAGGCCATCGCCACTAGAGAAGAATGCCTTTATCGTTTTGTGCACATGTTTTTGTGTGGAGTCAGTGGTGCAGGGTGCTGTGCACACTGTGTGGTGATTTCAGTGTTGGCTTGAGCTGCTGACGGTTCACTCTGTGCCAACAGCAGATGTGGCGCGCTGTCTCAACGGTGCCCTACAGGTCGGCTGTGGTGCCTTTGCCTGCTTGGAGAACTCAACATGTGACACAGATGGCATGCATGACATTTGCAAGTCCTTCCTGTACAGTGCTGCTAAATTTGACACACAGGTACAACATGTATCATTTTGCAGTGTATAATCACTCCTATTGTTGATGCAAGTTGTGTAAAGTATTGCTTTTAATTTACAGGGAAAAGCCTTTGTGAAGGAGAGCCTTAAGTGCATTGCCAATGGCATCACCTCGAAGGCATTCCCCTCCATCCGCCGCTGCTCCACCTTCCAAAGAATGATCTCGGATGTCCTGGAGGAGTGCTACAGCAAGCTGGACATCTGCACTGTGGCCCGCTCCAACCCTGATGCTATTGGTGAAGTGGCCCAGCTGCCAAGTCACTTTCCTAATAGGTAGAATTATCCAAGTGCCGCAGGAATGTTATGCTCAACATGCTTAAAAATACTGTTTAGAGAACATCAACACCTTGAATATTCACTGAATATTCACTGAACACAGATTTACAACAGATTACAAAAAGTATTTTGATTCATGGGTTTGAGCTTCTTCAGCATGTGTCCACAGCTAAACAGATATTGTTTTAGATTTAATTTTTGTACAGTTTGAGGAAAGAATCCCAGGAGTGGATACAATGGGATTGTCAAGGAACACTGGTAATAGACATTAAACAATATCCACCGCGACCAACTGGATTTCTAATTGTTGTGGTGACTGTTGGGTAAGTTGTGTGTTGTGTTTCAGGTTTTATGGAAAGCTCCTCCAGAGCCTCATGGACTGTGATGAGGACACTGTGGAGCGCATCAGGACCAGCATGGTGGCGCGTCTGGGCCCAGAGATGAGCATGCTTATTCAGCTACTGCAGAATAAGCCCTGCCCATCCACTGCTGTGGCTGCAGCTGCCGCCATCCCTACTGGGGTGGAGGGCCGTGGGAGCTGGCGGTGGGCCATGGGTCCCCATATGTACAAGTTTCAACCTAATCTGCGCAACAGGGACTCTGCCAGTCACTATGGCAAAAAAAGATCCATGGGCGACTCCTAACTTCACTTAGAAGAAGTCCCTCCACTGCAACCGGTAACTTCTCTGTCTTGGAGCTGCCAAACCCATCCTCTGCTAGTCTGGAAGTTTCTTGAATTCACATCACTAGGTAATGCCCATAAAGAGATAAAAGTAAATATAGTTGTGGTCTTGTATACCCCACGCTAATATGTCCACCTCAGTGAGTGTTACACATGTGGCTGTTGAAATGTGCTTTTTCAATCAAAGAAAAACAACTAGATATTATTCATGTGATCCAAAATTTATGATTTGGACATTTGTTATTAGCATTCTATTAATTGATGGTCATTCAATTTAGTGTTAGGTTGATCTTATATCTAAGTGATAAGTCCTGTCAAATTGTGTGAGAAAAAAATAGTTCCATGAATCTTTGAAACAGGTTCATACTTCTAGACTAAATGTATTGTACATTATATAAAATCTTCTTATAATAATAATAATAATGCATCGGTTTTATATAGCGCTTTTCTGGACACTCAAAGACGCTTCACACTTATATAGCCATTGGTAGCCTTCTAAAAGAGTATGGTCTTTGTTGGATGATAACCTTTTAAGGGGATACTTTAACTGACCAAAAACTTCAAACTGCCCTGAATGCTATTCATATAATACCAAACCATCAATAGCAAAGGGGCACCTACAGCTGTTTCTTCTGATGCTAGATGTAGCCATGGTCATGCGTTACAAATCAAAATATTGCACACATTGTTTGATTGAGGCATGGCCAAATCTCTGCATCAGGAAGACAAATTTGCATATGTTTATCCAGGCACTTGTAACGCAGACTGTTGAGCTCTTTGTATATGTTAGTTGTACTAAACATATATGTGTACTGCAAGCGTGTATGAGTGTAGCTTTTTAGCATGTTCACCAGTGAGAGACCAGCCATTTGGACTGTTGACCATCACTCTAAGTGGTGAAGCACATACATTTAGATGAGGAATAACTATTTTAAAAAGCCTTGTTACTTAGGATTGTATTTATTTTCCTACTTTATTATTTAACGTGTGTTCATTTGTTATGTATAAATAGTAGATTGCTTTAGTTTACAGATGCCAAAAATAAGAGCTGTCTTTCTCGTGACTGAATGGGCCCATGTCATAACTCTGTGCTGGCCATAGGGGAACACGGATGGTCATTCTAGTCAGTGATATACTTACCATACAGCAACCAAACACAATGTTACTTCCACTCATCAAAAAGCAACAGGACTGCATTTTTGCAATGTGCACAGCCTCGTCAGTAAATGATCGCACTACAACACTAACACCAGCGTCAGATTTACTTTGATACACACCTGTTTGGAAGTACTTCAACCAGTATATACCACTTTAAATCAAAATCTGTTGTTTTTCTTTGGCTATCAACATTAAAAACCAATGGGTGTTTCTAGAACATCCCAAGCCTGAAGGATATATCCAAGGGGAGATTAACGAAAACATTCTCTTCTCTTTTTTGCGACAATCATTAGAAAACTATAGCAGTCCTGATTCTGGTGTTTTTTTTACACACTAAGCATTTAGGGATTGGCCACAGCTATTTATCTGATGTTGCTGCACAAAGAATATTTGAATGAATAGTGGATTCAGTTCATTTGAAATGTTACATTCAATGTAAATGGGCCTGAAACAACGTTCTATGAAAAGTAAGATCACTTACTTTCATGTAATGGCTAGAAAAAAATGACTGTTTCTGTCTCAGTGTCTATAGAAATGTTAAGAACTCCAAACTATGCAATAATCTCTCATACAAGGATCACAGTGACACAGAAATGAATTTTCTCTTTGTCTTTGCAGCTGATGCTGTGTTTCCCTTACAACCTGAAAGGTTTTCTTTGTATGCTGATACTCCCAAATGTTACGTTTCTGCTTTGCTTCATTTGAGTGTGTTAAAGAGATACGTCTATAGGGGTTTGAAGACAAGAGCTCCAGTAACACTGTTATGTGTTTTGCTATTTTGTTTTAATAGGCACTTTGCATCTAAACCACTATAAAGGGCATTGTTTCATGGAGTGCAGGTGTATATGAAGTCTGTTTGATCTGGGCAGTGATTGAAATCCATTGGTATATTGTGCATCATGAAGGGCCATGGTGGCTGACTGATACAAGTTAGTATCAGACGGGTAACCCACAGCCCATATCTGCTGCTAAGTGTTTCTACCATTATGTTGTTGTATGGATGTCCCTCTACTGTGCTCAGACAGTAAACTCAGAAACCAGCCCACACCCCACTCTGATCCATTTCATGTCTGCTTGTATTTTATATTTATTTTTTATTTGCATTCCTTGTGATAAACATATTCTGGCCAGGGCGAATTGACTGTTTCTCCGCAAAGTCAACTGTAATGGATTCTCAGAGAATGTATTTGTTAATGAATGTCTGTCAATGATAAAACCGTGCCCAGGTTTACTGACCATGAAGAAAATTAGGCACAAATCACACAAACAGAACAAACAGTTGACTTTGTTACCACTGTGGCTGTTTGGTACCAGATGATCAGATCCCCCATGGTGACTTTGGTGAAACCAGTTGACCTAGAGATTGAAGACTGACTAAGACTTCTAGCACTTATGGTACTCTCTCCTTTCAAGACTTGAAATAGATAAATGTTGTGCTTAAACTAAATCAAAGCTTCAGTGACTGACTAGTAAAGTTTATTTTGTATTCTTATGGATATATAAAAAAAATCTATATATTATAGGTGACAGTTATTTTATTATGAAGCTTTTCAGGAGACCACAGATGCTCCTGATACAGATGCTATGTAACGCATGATTGATCCATGAATCACTTGCACTTTAATATATACCCACACACATATATACCCATACTGTGTATATGTGAAGGGTTTTCTCTGTACTGAAAAACAAAAAAGTCATGTGTCTTTTGCTGAACTGAAATAAAATAAAATAAAAACGGTTTCTAATGGTTCTTCTTATAATAATTCGTATTATGTACTTATGCTAACATGCAATCGCTTTAGTAAATACGGCCCATTTTGAAAGACCGTGATCCTCACTTGATATTGACATGTTATCTTCAAGGAGCTGATATATATGCAAAAAAAACAAAAGAATGACAGAACTGAACAGATGAAAATGTGTTGTGGGTTATATCTTTCCAACATGTTGCATCGTGGAGTAGGTTAGAGAAGGCATCAAGAATCTTACACATAAAAACCCTCAGATTTACTTTGTAGACTCTTTATAGACTCTTTATAGACTCACACATCAAGCCAGAATTGGTATCGGTGTTTGTTAGACTACTTAGTAAAACACAACCATGTGTTCTCACAGCGCCCAAAATGTACCATTCTGTTTGGAGTCAAATTATTTGGGTAAATGAACAAAAAAAGACAAAAATTTGATGATGAACAAACAGTACCTTCCATAAAATGAACTTTGATCTAAACTTGAGCAGGAAGGAGCTGAAACTGCAAAGTGGATGTGTGCTGGGAGAGCCTGAGGAGTGGAGGAGGCAGAACGCAAGAGGCTCAATAGACGCTAATCTCAGTCAGAAGGAGATATAATTTCATGCCTATTTAGAGACAAGTCCTGAAGGGCTTGTTCATTCTCTGCAGCACACTGCCATCACCGCGGATAGGTGATGCAGCAGCTTCTATCCTCTGTCACACATCCTCACAAATGAACCGTGCATGTATTCAAAGCTGCAATCTTCCACATGATCAGTGAGCTTTCTGAGTCTTCACTGCCCCTTTATTAGCAAAGCATTTGGTAACTTTACAAAGCAATCCACTCGTAGAGAATCTTGTTGCCAGGAGACATAGAAGCATTTTGACCCTTCCTATTCACACGGTTGGATCTCTGCTGAGAGTATAGTAACTCTGACTATGAGGGACACACAGCAAAAACTATATAAAATAATCAATATAAAATTAGAAAACTGTTTGAATTAACTTTTAATTGTGATACATTGTGATTAGTTTGACATATATTCATTACATGTTCCTCTTCTGAATCAATTTTGATACTACTGATGACTACTAAATTCATCAGTAGTGTGACAAATTAGATGTGCAGTGAAATGGGTTATGAAGCACAGTGAGAGATTAGATCCATCCTACCAGCATTCACTTTCCCTCTTTTCTGTGTGGAAATACCCAAGGACAGCTCAAGAAAACTAGATCACATTTTTGCTGAACAAAGTGTCACAGCGTGAAAGAGATTAAATATAGCGGATTCTGGTTAAACCAAAGAAACCTGATTTGTCTTCAATTGTTTATGTATTATTTAGAGATGTGTTACAATACTACGTTACTTGAAAATTGAATATTGTATATAGGTATATAGGTATATATAATCAGTCTGTCCCAGGACAACTGTGGCTACAAAAGCTCACCACCTGTGAGTGTGGAGTAAACAATGGTGTACATGGGACTAAATAACTAAAAAACATATATTTATGAAGCGTTAGCAGATTGTTTTGCTGGAAAATACTGGAAGGACGGACATATAAAGCTAATAAAATTATGTTTTCTTCTTTTTGGAGTTTTCAGTAGGTGCACATGCGGCCTTTAAGTTCCTATAGTGAGGCAGAGCCATCTAGTGGTAGCACCAAATACAAATAGGAAATTTTGTTTTTTATTGCAGAAAAACTTACTCAAGAAACACAATTTCAAGTGAGATTTGACTAGGTGCATTAGAAAAAAATCTGTGTTACAGTATTGGCCAAAGGCAGTCAGCACATATGCTGTGATGTCCTCTGTCTCCTCTTTCAGGAGCCATCAACTAGCTATTTTTGTGCATGATGAATTGGGGGTATTTGGTGGCAATTTTTACTTAACAAGTGTCTTGAATTACAGCAAGGAAACAAATGGTGGCAGCAACGGAAAGATTTTGACAATACATGCAGGAGTGAGTGAAATACACACAGCCATGAGCACAGTCTGAACACTGATGATCACAAAGTAATTTACCCATCACGCTAGACACCCACAATGCCCCAAGGTGTCAAACAACTCT